CTGAGGCGGATGCGGGCCACACCTTTTTATGAGAGGGAGGCTGCTTCCCAGGTCCCAACCCCAAGCGTTGACGGGTCTCTGAGATGAGGCAGCAAATGCTTAGAGCTAACCTGGGCTCTCAGAGACCCTCCCTGGGTCCACCGAACCTGCAGAACCACAAGTCATCGACCCCTTAGCTGGCAGACTGCCAAGGCTCCAGAGCAGGCAGAGGGCCACAGCTCCTGCAGAGGCACACTTGCCCGAGTGTCCCCTGCTTCCCCAGGCCAGCACACTTGTTCTCCCTATCTGCCCTTCCCTTGCTGCCCCTTCCAGTGTCTACCTCAAACCATCTGTAGGGTTGCACCACTTTGCCTGTCCACAATACCAACATACTATATCCAGGACCAGCAAAGCCGGGGCACCAAGGTCATACATTGGACACTTGGCCCTTCCCCAGCCTCCCAACACTGCTCGCAGACCCTGGTTTCAGGCTGCTCTTTCAGTGGCTGGGAATAAACTTCAGCCTTCTGTAAGCACTCTGTGTCCACTTACAGCCCTTCCCCACCCGCTGTGCATGGGTCCCTGCCCTAGGAAGCCTCTCCATTGGCCCTCACTGGCCAGCCCTGCACCCTCTTCCACCCTGCACCCAAGAACCAGGGGCCAATAGGAGCCCCAGCAGGAGTCCCTGGCCCTCCCCAGCACTGTGCCGACTACAGCATCCTCTCCTCCCGTCCCCTGTTGGACCAAGGGTTGGAGGTGCCCAGTGGTACTACCTGAGAGAGCTGGTTCAGGGCTGGAACAGCAGAGAGTGGCTAGGGCATTGCACTTGGACTAAGGGCTTTGCCTTCTAGCACTCCCTTCACCCCTCTTCCCCACCAGAAGTTCCTGAGAATCCCACACTGGCTGTTATGCAGGAGCAGGGTCAGGGCCGTGAGCTGCTACAGCACCTGTTTCCTCCAGCGGTGTGGGGCTTGTACACAGCGGCAGGAAGCATCCACCACAAGGTGTGAGGGGGTGTGGCTGCATGGCAGGAGGACCGACCCCACCCGAGCTCTGCATAACTATAAACCAGCCACTCACAGCCCATCGCAGGCTCCCCTCATAAAAGGAGAGGGGGACCATCCTCACCTACAGCCCCTCATGTCCCATCCCTGAGCAACTGAAGTGGGCAGAGCCGCCACGCACATCCCCACCTGCTGGCTGGGAGCCTGCAGAAGCTGGGGTGGAATGCCAGGTTCCAGTCACCAACTGGGGTACCTTATGATGTCCCCTTTCCCCAGCCCTCCCAGAGGAGTGGGTAGACTGCCCCGACCTGCAGGTGGAGTAGGAAGCCCAGCTCTAACAAGGGTCTGCAGGACGGGCCTCAAAGGCTGGTGTGAGAGCCACCCTCAAAGCAGAGGGTCCTGTGGGGAGCGGAATGGAGGGGCCGACATCATGGGCATCCAAGGTGGGAAAGAAACACGACAAACTCCACACCAGCCAAGCAAAGACCAGGGCTTGGAACCCACGGTGAGGGGGCCACCAGGAAGCAAAACACTGCAACTCTTGTGGTCTGGGGACTGTCTGGCTGGTGAGTGGTGAGCGACAGCACAAGGTCCACATGCCCATTGGTTAGGAGAAGCAGCTGCCCCGTGAGAGGGGCTGGGGGCTGCATCCCCCACCTCAGGAACGCGTTCGCCAACAGGGTGAGGGACGAGGTGGGAGTGTGTGTGTGTGTGAGTGCAAGTACAGGAATACAAGAGTGCAAGACCGTTTCCCCCTTTGTTCTTACACAAGCACATCAACTCCCAACGCTCACACCAGGGGCTTCTGGAATGGACTCTCCAGTTAATCGGGGCCTGGGTGCCTTTGCAGGATAAGGCAGGGCAGCCTAAGGGCACAGACACCTAAGCTCCAGGCCCTGGGTCCCCTGCCACAAAGCAGACACAAGGTCCCCAAGGGGGGATGTGTGTGGGGAGACAAGACAGTGAGGAGCAGGGGGGAGCTGCTCCCACCTGCAGCACACCACACTGGCCTCTCCCTGGCACTTCCCTGACATTGCTCACTCCTCTCTCCACATCTGGTGTATGTGGGGGGAGGAGGTGCCACGCCAGCGAGCAGATGAGGCCTCCAGGGTTCACACTAATCAACACAGGCTGTCCTTGGTTTAAGCATGGCCAGCAGGGCAACCATGCCCCGAAGCACCCCGGCTGCACTGAGGGGTCTGGACTTTGCTTTAAGAGCAATGGGGATCCACTGCAGCCTGAGTTGGGTGACCAACAGGACTTCATGGATGTGGGCTAAGGTGGAGCTGAGGGTGGAGTGGAGGGACCTGGAGAAGACATGGCGGCCCCGTAGGTGGGCATGGAAGGCAGCCCAGAGCCAGCCAGTGAGGATCCAGGGTGCTACTGCTGTGGCCACCATCCCTTCCCCCTCCAGGCCAGCAGCACCTTCAGCAATAGTCCTCCCCTAGCTGAAATAGGCTTTGGCTGTTCTGTCTGTCTCCTGCACCCAGCTGGATGCCACCAGAAGCACTGGTTCTTGCTTGCTGGGGTGCCACACTGCCTCCGAATGGGTGTCCCCACCTTCAGGCTGGTGCCCCACCAGGTGCCCTTGTCTGCCCTGCACAGTGGCCCCCACAGGCAGGTATATGTCATCTCCTCTCTCCAGGGCTCCTGGTTCCAGGCCTGACAGTGGGCTTGCAGTGACTTCTTCATGAGATCCAAGCCTGCCTGGCACCAGGAGACTGTAGGGAGCCGGGGTGGCAAACCTGGCTCCATGACCCTGCAGGAGCCCCTGTGGCCTCCTCACTGAGCAGGGTGCCCCTGGGGCTGCCCCACTGGAGACCTCCACACAGGCAGGCTAGAACCATGCCTGGAGCAGTGGGCTGAGTGCCCACTGCACTGCCAAGGTCTTCCTCACAACCTGAGCCACATGGGCTGCCATGTCTTGATGCTCAGTCTGGAGGTTTGAGGCATGCTAGGAAGAGTGTGCAGCTGCCACCAGCACCTCATTCCAGAACGCACCTGTTGCCCCTACACGCAGTCCTGACCCTGTCAAAGCCTGCTCCAAGCCCTTTGCACACGCCCTGACCAACAAACATCCACTGTGGAGATCCTTACATTTGTCACGAGACCAGCCAAGTGGTTCGGTGGTCTTGGGCCGCAGCCTGCATGCAGCACCCAGAGAAGGTGCTGGCGGGGACCACTGCCTAACAAGCAGACCAATGGGCTCAGGCTTCCAACAGCCTGTGTGTGCCTAGGGAGTGAGGCCCTACTTACTTCGCTGCCCACGCAACACCCTGTCCACAGGGCAGAGCCAACACGACACACGATGGCACCTGCTGGCCTTCCACATGCAGCTGACCAATACCAGTCGTGAATGAGCTCTGACCCACTTTCCCCTTAGAACATTTGTTTTAGAAGCAAATGCCAAAAAGCAGTCAGCTTTTCAGAAACCCATCTCCCTGCCGCACGACAGCTGGCCGGACGCTGGGCACTCAGCCCACTGCTTCTGGCAAGGTCTGAGCTTGCCTGTGGGGAGGTCTCCATGGCGTGGCCTGTCCGCTGAGGAGCAGGAGAGCCTCATGTGGGAGGTCCACCCCAGGCAGCTCTGTGGCCCACGTGGATGCCCCAGCAGGGTAGTGCGTTGGCCTCCCCTCCAAGACAGGACCTGATCTACCAAGAGGAATCTGTGTACTCCTGACCCACAGGCCGGGAGAAGGGTGAGGAGCCCATTCCACTTGCTCAGCTTGGCCAAACTGATCATTCCTGCAATGCATGCCCTCTTGCTTGCTGTTAGTAACACCAGGGTTACTTCAGGGTCTCTGGCCTCCAAGGTTCACACCCATCTCCCGCGGCTGCTGTCACCCCTGCATCAGCTGGTCCCCAGCCCCCAGGGCAGCTGCCAAGCACAGGTCTCAGAAGGTTAGGGCCAGAGACTGTCCTTCTCTGGTCACAGGGCAACGGGGTGGGGGTGGGTGCGGATCCTGCCACTGGCGGCGCAGGTCCTGCCACTGGCTGCATGGCAAAATGTCTGCCATGGCTTGAGAGAAAAAGACCCTGAGGTTAAACTAACCAAGCCTGGCCAGGCAAGCAGCGCTGTGGCCCCTAGCTCCACCCCCTCCGTCCGTTCATGTCAACCACAGGACACCAAATGGCCCCCACCTGCCCAGCTGGCTGGATGGCCCCAGGCCAGGAACACCAGTGCCTGATGTCCAGCCAGGAGCTACCATGGTGATCCCAGGCCCTGAGACAGCCCTGCTGGCAGTGGGAGAGGATGTCCACCACACCTCATGGGGACTGCACCCAGGCTGACCCAAATGGCCTCCCCCAGCACCCAGCCAGGACACTCAGGGCCAGCTGGCCCCAGCTCCGCACCCTGGAATCCGAGGGAGAAGCCTGCACCTTCTGCCTCACCTTCCACTATCGAGGGCAGGAAACACTCTCAGAGCCACACTGCTCACCCTCCCAGCACACAGCTCCTGGGACCGTCACCTCCAAACATGGACCAGCTGAGGACGGCCTGCATTCCACCTGGGACGTGTGTCAGGGCCAAGGACCTCAGTGTAAGTTTCTCATACCCCTCACTCCCCACACACACCTGCAGGGACACAAGGGCAAGGCCGGCGACCGTCACCACACTCTTTCAAAGCAGCCTTCATTCACAAACTCCTTCGGCCAGTCCCATCCCAACAGCCCCAGCAAGCCTTCCCACACTGTGCCGTCTGTCTGTCGCGATCACTGGGCCGGCAAGGACATGGCCCAGGGCAGCGCGTTCCTCCTGCGCGGTGACTGGGGCGTTGTTCCCAGCCTCAGGGAGAAAGCCAACAGCAAAGGCCAGAGCTCAGGAGCTTCTGCTCACAGGTGCTCTGCAAAGGTTGCCCCCGCCACCTCAGGGGCAGGATCTGTGCCTGCTCCTGCAGCATCCCGAGGGTACGGTGAAGGGACCAAGCCCAGCACTCATGCCAGGCACAGGTCTCTCACCTACCGAAGTGGGCAAGGCAGGAGCAAACACGCGCACTGGCTGCTGCGGTCACTTACCAGGGCGGGCTGCGGCTGCGGCTGCGGGTGCTGCCCGGTCCCCGGGGTGGCCGGGTAGTGCATGAGCAGGTTGAAGGCAGAGTAGACGCTCTCCTTGTACATGGTGCCGCCAGAGCACTCCGGGGCCTTCAGGCCTGGAAAAGCCACCGCTGCTCAGAACCCCCGACCCCACCCACGGTCCAGGACACCACAATCAGCAGGGGGGGCTTGAAGGAAGCAACAGGCTTTGAGGGAGAGGGGGTCCACTGCGTGCCCAGCTTCCTGCGTGGCTCCCCCACCCCACACTCGCCCCTCGAGACGGGGCAGCAGCAGGTCACCTGGGCAAGAGGGCAGAGGCGGCGGCTGGGGTCTGTTTACTCCTATAAAGGTCAGGGCACCGGAAGTGACTCGAGCCCGCGGCGCCCGGGAAGCCCGCCCCCGTCCCACCGCCCCCTCCAGCGGGGCGCTCCCCGCCCCCACCCCAGCCCCCTCCAGCCGCGGGGCTCCGCTTCCACCGGCCCGGCCTGGGAGGGCGCAGCCAGCCCGAGACACTCACCGTCCGCCAGGGACTCGGTAAGTTTGTCCGCGAACAGGCTCTGTGGAGCGTGCTCGCGCCCGAGCGCCTGCAGAGAGAGAGCACAGAGGGGGGACGTGAGGGGCCGGACGCCCGAGGGACGGGGAGACAGCCCCCTTCCCCGACGCTCGGAGGGCGGCAACGCGCACGGTGCTCACCTCGGCCGCCGCGTCGGCCTCGCCCCGCGCCCCGGCGCCGGGCCCCGGACCCCCCGCGCCCTCGGACTCATTCACGAGCGACGACTTGAGCTCGGCCAGGTCGCGCTCGGGGCCCGCGGCGCTGTCGCGGCTCTTGTCCTGCTCCTCGCCCTCGTCCTGGAAGGCCAGCAGCTCGTCGGGAGCACCGAGGTCGTCGCCGCCGCCCGCGCCGCTGCCCGTGCCGCCGCTGCCCGCGTCCAGCTGCGGCATGGTGCGCTCCGAGGGGCGCGGGGCGCGGAGCCGGCCGGGGTGCGGTGGTGGTGGTGGCGGCGTGAGAGACGGCGAGCCCCCGCTCTGGACCTGCGAGCCCGGGACGCGGCGGGCCGAGCGCGCGGGCTTCTGCCTCCGCCTGGGCGGGCTGCGGGCGGCGGGCCGAGGGCGCGGGGCTGCGCGGTCCGCCCGGGAGCTGGCGGGTCCGCACATCAAAGGCGCCGCCGGGCCAGCGCCGGGGGCGGGGCGGGCGCCGGGGCGGGGCCTGCCGGGGAGGGGCCATGCCGTCCTGCCGGCCCCGCTCCCGGGAGCCGCGGGGCGCGCCCACTGGGCATCGTCTTAAAGGGCTCGCCTCGCGGGGCAGCGTCCTGGGGCCTCGGGGGCCGAGCCTCGAGTGCAGGGACTCCAGAGGGAACGCTCGCCCCGCACCCGTGCGCTTCTGCCGCTGGGACCCTTGGAGAATTTGGAGGAGTGGCTTGGAACCGTGCCTGGATCTTGGGTCTTTGGGGGCTAGGGGTCTAGCAGGGTTAGGACGCCCCCCACCCCACCACTTCTCGGCCGCATCCTTCATCTCTGTGTTCCAGTCTGGGACCTGCTTCCGGGTCTCCTGTCCAAGCGGCGCGAACGCCTGTTGCACACATCACACGTCTGTGCGGTGTTCTTTAGCCATGTGGGGGCCGCAAGCCAAGCAGACAAGGAGGAAGGACCCTCGCCCCTTACCGAGCCTCCAGGCTTCGCGCGGTAGGGTCCCATGCGGGGCTCGGGGCCTGCAGGGATCCGCACCCCTCGACGCCTGCTCCAGGCTGCATCATCCAGGCTGGCGCGGGGTGGGGGGCACCTGCACGGCTTCCCCCGCGTCCGCGCCGGGCCTGCTGTGCGAGTTTGACCTCAGTCAACCGCACTTACGCGCCGCATCCTCTAGCGGGTTTCTGGGCTGAATCCCTGATGGACGCTCCCACCTCTTTCTTTTCCAGAGCCGTGGGGAATGGGGGGGGGGTGGAGAGAAATATAGGGGAGGGGATGGTGCAGGGAAGGAGGCGGGGATTTAGGACGCTCTGCTGCTAGGGCCCCACAGGACCCCTGGCAGCGGTGCAAAGCCAGGCCGGAAGACAGCCGCGCCGCCCCTCCGGGTCCAGGCCCAGCCCGGTTGGCTGCGGATCAAAGAGCAGGGGCCGGAGCTCCTCCACGCTCAGATCCTATCTGCGCCCGCCCAGCGGGGTGCCTGGCCCCGCACCTCCGGCCCCGGATGCCCACTTTCCCTCCCTTCCCGGGCAGGGGAGGGGTTGAGTTCTGGCGCTCAGCTTGGCAGAGCCCTGAAGGAAAGACCCTGTCCCGTAGCTGGGCTGCTCTTGGCCCTCCCCCAGGTGTGAGCCCTTGCGCCCAGACCACCCCAACTGCCAGGATGCGAGAGACCCCGGGTGGCCCCCAACGCCTGCAGTGCTTGGCTGAGCCTCCTGTGGGAGGGCTGAATGGGATCGCAGTTGTGCCTAACCCAGGGACTTTAGGAGGGGTTCCTCCCCTGGGTCGTGGGTGACTCCAGCTCAGCGCAGCCCCACCCCGCCCCCACTGTTCAGTAGCAGGCCAGCCTTGTGAGGTCCCGGGGACACAGGCCAACAGGGCTTGAAGTTGATGAGTGCTATTGAGTTTTTGTTTTCTTGATGAGGCTGAAGTTTGTCACTTGGGGGTGGTCTGACCCAGCTCCCTCATCAGGCAGCCATCGACCAGGTTGAGATGTGCCTGGTTCTAAGAAGGGTCTTGGCCCCCTCACCCAGCAGAGGCTGAGGACCACCCTAATTGCCCCTCGGAGATGACAGCCTTTTTTTCCCCTAAACAATGTTGAGCTTAGGTTTTCTTTTTTAAAAGGTTCTTATTTGGAGTGGGGGTTAGCATTATTTTCCCATTGAAGCAGTATCTTCCTTCTTCACTCTGGCACCCTCAAGTTTCTCCAGATATTTTGTAGCTCCGTGACTCTCAAAGGCCGGGACCATTGCCCTCGATGGTCAGGCTCCCACTCCTTGCTGTGCTTGTTGGAACAGGGACAGGAGTGGGAAAGCAGAGAGAAGAGGGGTGTGGGGAGAAGTGCTGGAGGAGGGACACAGGACAAGGGGAGGCATCCTGCTCCCCAGGAGCCATGGCTGTTCTAAGAAGCAGCAGGTGGTCAGGCAAGGAGAGCTCAGTGTCGCTTCTTGGAGGAGGTGGATCTCACCCAGGGAAGAAGGAGCCCCCTGCCGGGTCATCCTCACGCTGGTCTCCTGTACTGTGTGATGCCTCCTGACAAGGAGCCTCAGACACACTGCTACCCCAACTCAGTTGTCACTCACCCTGTGACACGGGTGACCAGGGGACCATCCGCCCCATTCTGAAGCCCAGAAAGGTTGAGTAAGCCACGCAAGAACTCATAGAGTGATGGTGAGGGTGTCAGATGTGGGAGACTCAGGCCAGTTTCCAGCTTTCTTTCTGGCCCATTTCCACCTGTTGTGGGCATTTGGGAGGTGAGATTTGGGGATATCACAGTTACATAAAATGTCCAGAGAAATCTGAGGATGAGACAAGCGATAAGTTTGTTTTGCCAAATAATGTCTCTATCACTTTGCCTTTTGAGTAAATCTTGTAAAAAGAAAGAAAATGGGATGTCAGATTTCCAAATCTAGTTGGTCAACATCCTGAGCGTATACTGTGACTGACCATGCTCTAGTACCCCGTGATGACCCCCCAGATTTCAGAGTCCAAGCTCCTTGATGTTTCTGACAAATGCCCCAACGATGAGCTATCACTGCCAGAATCCTCGCCTTATGGATGGCTCATGTCAACCTCACCTGGGGCCACGGCGAGGATGGCGGGGATGGGGTGGGAAGGGGCGATTAGGGTAGTCCTCGGCCTCTGCTGGGGGAGGGGGCCAGGACCCTTCTTAGAGCCAGACACACCTCAACCTGGCCCATGGCTGCCTGATGACGGAGCTGGGTCAGATCCCACACAGGGGTAGGTCCACAGATGGCGAATGGGATATGCCCCGGCTACACCTCCCCCCAAACGAGAGGTGAGTAGGCATTTCAGGACTACCTACAGGGAGCCCCAAAGATCAGGTGACAGCAGGTGGTGTTTCTGGGGCGGGAGAACTGCTTCTTCCTGCAGATGAACCAGGTGGGTGTGTACTTGTGTTCAGGTGGGGCTGGGCCCAGGAGGCCTAAGGGTCTAAGCAAGCATGCTGTGGCTTTAGAGTTGGTCAGCCTGAGTGCTGACCTCCTGCTCCAGCGTTCGTCAGCCATGGACCTCTGCAGGCATCAGCGTCCGCCTGGGGCAGAGTGGGGCCACAGCCAGGCCACCCCTGACCTGTGGAGCAGGGCTGAGGGGGACTTGCTGTGTGTTGGTCCAGAGCTGAGCGCGCTGCCTGCTGCATTCCAAGGTGCCGTGTAATACACGGGTGCTCCAAGCTGGGTATTTTTCGGAAGTTGTTAGGCTAATTGTCTCTTCATGTAACGTCATGTAAACCATGCCGGTGCTCTCCTGGCCTGAGCTCAACCTAATCAGGGCTGAGACACACTTCCTGCATCTTCTCTCCAGTTCCTTTGACATGAAAGGCCTGCGTGAACTCTGACCTGTTCCAACAGGGAGACCCTGGAAATGTGATGTTGCCAGAAAAACAGCTCAAACCCCCTCCCTTCCGGGTGGGGGGGCAGGGAGAGGGGGCGCTGAGTACATTCCAGTAGGCAGAACCTTGGGCAGCGTGTCTTCCTGCTGCCTGGCATCCTGTTGGGGCTTGCCAGGAGCTGGCTGCTGGTGGGATGAGCACCTCCCAGGGCAAGGCCCGGTCACCAGGCCTCCAGGTCGACTGTAGTTTTGCTGTTAGGAACCTGGGAGCTGTGCAGTCCTGTACATTGGCGTGCAGGTGGGTGGGGGCGGGCAGCGGCAGGGTCCTGAGCAGCACAACAGTTGGCTCCATCCCCCTGGCAGCTGCCTTGAAAATGAGTCAAGAAGGGAGTCCCTGGTGGAGCTCCCAGCTCCTGGCTTCTGTCTGGCTCAGCCCAGCCTGGGGAGTGAAGCAGAGAGTGGGTGCTCTTCTCTTCTTGAGTCTTTTTCTTGCAGATAAAATAAATTCAAAGTAGAACAGGGGGACTGGCATTGTGGCACGTCAGGTTAAGCTGGCACCTGGGATGGTGGCATCTTGCAATGCTGGTTGGCTTTCTCTTCTGCCCCACTTCTGATTGAGCTCCCGCTGAAAACAGCAGGAGGTGGCCCAGGTGCTGGGTGCCTGCTTACTCATGGAAGATCCAGATGGAATTCCTGGCTTCTGGAGTTGGCTGGCCCAGCCCTGGCTGTTGCAATTGTCTGGGGAAGTAAAGCAGCACTTGGAAAATCTCTCTCTCTCTCCCAGTAACCCTGCCTTTCCCAAAGGCCTCCTGAGGGCTGGGACTGTCCCTCAATGCCTTCCCATTGTGCCAGCCATTCTCCTGCGACTCAGTCACTGGAAGAGGGGCACGTAGCTCTGGGTTCCTAAGGAAGGGGTCCTCAGGCAAAGAGATGAGCCTGGAGTGGCTGCCACCTGCCAGGGACTGCACTGTCAGGCCTGCTGGTCCCGTGAGGGACCATGTCCTCATTCCCCCTTGCCTCTACCACTCGCCTGCTGAGCAGACTCGGGTTGGTGTATGCCTTCTCTAGGCCCAGGGTCATCCGAGGACATCCCTTACCTAGTTGTAAGGGTGCAGTGGGGAGCCCAAGGCCATGAGACAGAGGTGGGAGACAGATGCATCACAACTGGAACAGGGAGCGGCCCACCAAGGCCTGGGCTGGTGTTGGTCCGGCAGAGTCAGGGAGGACTCTGTCCCCGTCACGGTCACAGCTCTCAGGGTCTTGGCTGCTCTCCCCTAGGGACCTGGTGCGGAGCTGGCAAGCCGCCACACTTGGAACTATTTGGTTGACTGGCCAACCTGCAGCAGTTCTCATTCAGACTCCAAGCAGAAGTCAGCAGGCCCAGCGCTCACTGTCAAGGAACGGTCCATCTTGCAAAAGACATCAGATCAAACAAAAGGGGTACAGGCCCACGTTCGGAAGTGTGGCTGTTGGGTGCGTGTCATGGCTACAATGTGATAGTATGGGAGGGCTTCCTGGAGGAAGCAAGTCAGTCTCAAGAGGCAAATGGGA